AATTTCTGTTTCCGCATACACGACGCTGCCTGATGCCCCCACTATGCTTAAAGTTATAAAAATCCTAGGTGCTTCTTTGTAACAAGGAGGACAGACCACGGCAACAACTTGTGTCGAAGTGAAACTAATATGCAGCAATATTGGATTCCACATATCATCAAATCACCACGGTTACATGAAGCAAAAACCTCATATTGCTTCCCATAGACTCCGATCTGTAGGCTAAGGCGCAGCACCTCCTCCGAGGTGGGCCTGTGAGTTGTCAGATCTCTGTTCTTGGGAACTGGGATGTGTCTTTTCTCATCTTAAAGTTATGGGGGTGTAGAATTATACATGTCAAATATATGATTTAAGAATTTTCTTGGAGTTAAGCTGGAAAAAAATTGGACTAGACCTCCCCCCATTAATTTCCATGGGTTAATGCTGGGATAATTCACCGTTTAAGCTTCAACGTCTCCTCTTATCAGCATCATTTTAATGTTTCGTATGCATGGCGGATGCATAAAGTTTCTTATGAGAAATGTTCCCGACTTTTACTTAATGTATCACATTTCTTTCTTGGATTTAATAATCTAACATTCTACCTAAATGAAATCGAAATAACGGTCTTTATAAAATAAATAAGAATATAAAAAGCTTTTTTTTAAAAAAGGTATTTTCCCTTCGAATCCAAGCGAAGCAATTATTCTCAAAAAAGAAAAGAAAAAAAACTCCATGACAGGGTTTAAGGCCCAAAACAGGCTGAGACAATTACAATATGGTTTGTTGTTTGATTACTAGGTCACAGCGTATTAAGCCCATAATTGCAAATGGCCTACTACAAATTATTTCTAAGTCCAGCTTAGAGTTTTCTCTGTGTCCTCGATCAGGCTCTTCCCACCCCATGCTTTATCCCCTTCAAAGTTCGAAGCAAATCCCAGTTCACGAGTTTTCTTTCAGAAGAGACATTATAAATTACAAACACTCGCCAGTGTCAGTAAGATTCGTTCTCCGATTTTCAATTTGTCAGTACCAACTCAAAAGTAGACTTGGGAAGACTGTAACAAGCATGAATACAACTTTTCACCTAGCTATATTATAGATTTAACGCCTGTGAATACCTAATAAACTTAACTTCTTATTCCATCCCATGCTTGAATTGGTTATTTTGTTCTTCGTGGCTTGGAAACCGGTTACATACTACACTTGAAGATTAAATACACCACAAACCCCACCAGTATTGCAATTAGGTCAAAAACATAGTTAATGCCAGTTAATCATGGAGAAGCATCATAGATATCAGCAGGAGGGATGAAATAATCCATTGAAAGCCCTGGCACATTGAACACAACATCATCGATCCTCCATACTTCTTCCATTCTAGTCCTACTGTGTTGCACTGACACTTCCTCGAATCGAAAAACTGTAGCAATTGACCTTCCTTGATGAGCAATTAACACACCATCCACATCTCTATAGTCGCCAATACTACTTCCTATAGTAGTCTCCCAATAGATAGTTTCATTTTCTGGAGTTTGCACCCTTGTTAGATGGGAGTCCTCTAAATACATCAAAAGGCCACTTTTTTGGCAAAAATAGCCATACAGTACATGCCTTAGCACCTCAGCTGGCCCTTCACTTCTTTCCATTACAGCTTCTCGATCAGCAGCTACTTTTAAGACGAAGCAATCATCCTCGCCAATTCTTTTCTCCCCTAAGCATTGTGCTTTAGCAAATAAGCTGGATGTACTCTTTGGATCCAAGCCCTGGAATACCACCACATGATTAATTAAGTGCACGAAGGTCTAAGTTTTAGGCGATATTAGTGTTCGAGCACATAATCAGACGCAGGACAGGGTACTAACAACTTGTAATTTAAGAGGTTTCAGGTTTGAGCTTTTATAAATATATAAACTAAGGAAGCATGACAAGACACCTGAAATCAAATGAAAGAACCACAAATTAAATTCATAAATTTCAAACAATTCAATGAAATACGGTTAGCTACACTGATCCCTATCTTTTCGTCTGAGAATGGAGGATAGCTGATTTAAGCCTAGAATTATTAATTAGTAAAAGAACAAGGACATGATGACGAGGGAGGTCCAAATATTTTGGTACTTCCATACATATTCTAGCTTAGCTTTGACTACCTTCCAGTTTCAATAAAACATGAAAATTAGAATAATATGCTTTTTATTCAAGGTGGACAAAATCTCAACAACTGCAGGCCAGTGATTCCTCTCATGTCATGGCAAGCAAAGGAAACATATACAAAATGGGGATGCCACTCCTAAAAAAAAAAAAAACTAAGCATAAGTGTTCCTTCACAAGTTATGACTAATTCCCTAGTTATTTTTTTTTTGTAGGAAACAGGGCTTGGCCCAAAAGCTCCAAAGGAATGTTCCTCACTCCGTCACTTGGGGCTAGAGGCAATGGAAGAAGCCCCAGACGAGATACTGGGATTTCAATTTTCAAGTATGCCACGATAGTTTCTAACTTTGAAACTCGCCATAATTTCGAAAACAAACAAAAAAAAAAACAGAAAATTGGAGAAAGGAGAGAAGGAAAACGATTGACATGGGAACAAGAAGAAAATAAACAAAGAAGAGGGGGGGAAGGCAAGAAAAGCAAGGGGCGATAATGCAATAAATCAGGTGTTATTCACTAAAGTGCCAAAAAGGAAAAGTAAAGTGCAAAGGGATGACTACAAGCTGCAGTCCCAAAAATATATGGGTATATACTGTGAACATGATCAAAGATGACGTCAAAAACAAAATCACGTGCTATTCCTCACTCTGAATAACGTGAGAGTTCAAAAAAAGAAGCTAGGCTGTCTGGTAAAGCTCGAGACAGTTTCCCTGTCATGTCAGCTACTTGTACATAGATCCTACCATTTCTCGGGATTGTGATCTACAATATAGATAGGTCTTCAAATTTCATTTTTTTAAAAGGAAAAAACTTATATTGGTCTTCCACCCCCGTCCTTATGTCTGGAATGTAAATTCGATTAAAGTAGATTAAAGTAAATGGTAGAGTAAAAAAGCAATGTTCCTAATTTTGTCTTATCGTCTTCAACCTACAGAAAAACAGAAATATTCCTCAGTTCACCCTCTTGTTCTCTTCCCTCATAGCCCGATATTGCACTACCAGTTTTAGATCACTAGTTTTCTGGCTAATTTTTCTTTATGTTTAACTTAAACTATGGTCTTCAATCTTTAAGGGGGCAATTTCATCAAGATTAATATTGGATTTGATGCATTATATAGTCTGTACCTGGATTATGCGACGTAGAGGGCGTTGGGGGCCCTTGGCAGCATGAGTGCCAAGCCAAGGAGTGTGACGCCACACGGTCTTCCCATCGCTTCCTGCTATGACCTTATTTTCCCCAACAACCAATTCAAGAGACCACATCCCCGGCAACATTTGCCAAAGAACAAAGCACCCATTTTCGCCACTTCTAGTCCCCAAGCTCTTCACGTTTTTTCCCGAGGAAATTTCTGTCTCGCAACGAATCATCTTCACACTCCCTGTTGAATACATGTTTTTCATACATTTTTGTTGCTTTAAACACCCTGTTGCTGCCAAATATTGTTGGATGATATAATGCGCGGCAGAATTTTCCTATAGAAAAAATTGATAAGATCGAGTTGCCGAATTAAATAAGAAGATATACATATCGATAAGTAGTGTAGAAGAACTTACAATAGGAGTGTTTTTAATGTGAATGCGATGAATGGGGTCGTTAACTAGAGGGATTGGAGCTAGAGGGCAGCCCAAAACTCCAAGTAAAAGCCTTAAATCTTGTCCTTTGACTGGAATACTCCCATGTAACGATACTGAAAAACTGTTACCTGCTGGAAGACCCTTTTGCAATCGAAACCATTCACGAATTACTTCCCATGAACTTTCCTTTTTGTTACCTTCTTCTTGCATGTCAGGGTCAGGACCTTCTAGCAGCGGAGTTAAGGTTTGTGTGCACCATCTTTGCTTCCTTCTAGCTCTTGAGCCCATGGTTGTGAGGAGATTAATATTAAGAAGTAGCAAGAGAAAGTTGTTGAAGATGAAGAATGGGGTTTAAAGTAAAAGTGAACAGAGGTTGTTTATAAAAGCGTTTATTACGGTTGTGAGTATAGCTAAGAATGAGAAGGAAGAGACAAAAAGGGACAGCTTATCTGTCAAACGGCAGATGATGGTAATTATTATAATACAGACTTGCATGTTGGGATGTCTTTCGCTTTATTCTTTTTTTTTACCCTTTTTCTTTTAGACTCCTCTTGTCGTTTAACTTCTGCAGGGATTCTCTTGAGAAACTCCAGGTGAGAGGAGCGGGATGGATTAGGGGCTGTCTCTTTCTATATTTTGGAGATAAATTTAGCTCTCTCTTTCTTTCTAATGTCTCTGTGGACCCTGTGATCATACCCTACATTTTTTTTATCTCCTAGTTACCCTGGTCTTGAGGGGTAATCTTCCTTGAAATCACTAGACTCACTGCGTCATGAGAGCAGTGAAGTCTTCACGATTGGCCCACAGCAACATCGGTCCTTCATTTCATTCATTTCTCCGGTGTGTATTCGTCTGCTACACATTTATTGGGAGTTTTCTGGTATGGCTGTAGCCACGTCTATCTGCACTAGAGACGTACATAGATAAATAGTGTTGGTAGGGTTCTGCTGTCAAGGGCACTCTTCCTGTTTCAACCATCTCCACTGACATACCTGAAATTTATTTTTATATAATAAAATAACACACTATTCAAAATTTGAGCTCTTAGCTTTTTTAATGACAGATATACCCTTCTCGTCACACCCCTTGAATCAAACTCTTTCAAGAACTCTATATTAAACTTCCAATTTCCTACCACTTTTATATATATATATATATTAAAAAAAACAGCGCATCTTACAAAATATATTTTATTTTAGAATATTTTAAAAAATAAAAATCGACATTATAGAAACTGAGTTTTATTTTTGAAATGATATGCTAACGATGTTCCAGTACACTTCACTTTTATCGTAGATAAAAATCGGTTCAGCGTAAAAAATAGTGGGACGTGCTGCCAATAAAAGTCAAAAGCAAACATTACCACGAGTGGAAACGGAGCAAACTCTTTCAAAAATATAAAAGTTATTTTAATAAATTTAACTTCTGCGCGGTGACTTTAAATTTAAATAAGCAATAATTACAACATTCCCTTTCCCGAGTTAATGGACAGCGATTAACCTCTCTTGAATACCTGGGTGTCTTTTCAACACTCTTGATTTGGTACGTGTGTGTGTCTATATATATATATATATATATATATATATATATATATATATAATGAACGGAGCTTGGTCAAGAATTCCAATTTCTTCAGCCTTGACATAATTCGAACGGTGCTCATCATATTCTGTAGAATTCCAATTTCTTCAGCCTTGACATTTTCGAATAGTCAATTGATACTAAACCTATTTCTAAACAAATTTAAGAGAATTTTCCTCGTCAACCTAGTATATTTAGAAAACAAATCCTTAAAGATTGCTTTTAAGATCTTAACTCAACAGATCAAGTAATTAAATACAGAAAATCTTTTTAATTATCAAACTAACTTTCATTCCTCATCATTTTATGGTAAAGTCTTCTGTCCTTTTTTCTAATAAATTTCACTCCTTCGGTGATTGGAATTGTTTGAAAAATTCATTGAACAAATACTCGAGTACAAAATCCTCTCCGGTCAATAGATCCAGAGCTTACACGGGGCAATTGAGGTTCAGTGCAATCACTAGCTTCCTGCCGTATCTTCTTTAATGGTGATTATTAAATCTGCATTTCCCAAAATGGTTCCCTCGAGCGTATAATCTTGTCACCATTGCGGTATTTTAATTTCCAAAAGAAGAATTGTCGAATAAAAGCCTACCTAATCATTAGCATTAATCACAGAATTTCTTCTTTTTTTTTTGACAATTAATGTCAGACGAATTTCGCTTTTAATTTTACAACTACTATCAGCCAATTTATCAAACCTTACATTTCAGTGATCATGATTTTCCAGTGAACACCAGAAGGAAAAAAAGAAAAAATTAGGTGCCCACTTTCACTTATATTTGACGTTGACAGTAAAGTAGTCTTGATTTTTTTGAGAAAAAACTTATCATCTGGGATCCACAAAGAGGTGGGCCGGCAATTAATTGGATCGCAATGCGATTAATGTGGTGGAGAGTCGGCATCAATGGCGGGGAGGCAGATGGAGGGGGATGGGGGATCTTCCACGCCGAAAGCACTCTCTGTTTTGGTGAAAGGTTGAGACGTAACTTTCATGTGCTGGGAAGTATAAGCAGGATATACTACATTAATTTGACCTCGAAACACATGGTAAAATTTATGCACATGATTACATAAAGAATAGCTAGTCTATCACATCTTAGTCCTGTGTTTCAAGTAGACAGCCATGTTAACATCATCTCACCCTGCAAAAAATTGCTAGATAGAAAAGAATGTTTGACAAAAAGAGGGTAACTTTGCACTTGAGACAATCTCATGAGACCAAACTCTACAAGTACGGGTGTTCTTCGTTTCGTTTATAAGAAAATTTGTTTCGAAATTAACTCCTTTTTTCTCAAATAATTTGGGTTTTTGCTTTTTTTTACTAAACATAAAACCATTTTTAAAAACCTTAAGAAGGGAATATCATGACATTAGATCTACAGTGGCGTTGTAACCTCTTTTTTACATGAATATTAAAAACTCCTCCTGTTTTTGTGATTGCGTCAATGTTTTGGTTTGGTTGAACCATAATATGTGAGTGTTTAATTATAACTTGGATCTATGTTTTAATTAATTGAATCCATCATTTTATCGAGTTTGGATGTCAATTATAAAAAAACAAGGTTGAATCTGTTTTTTAACTCGAGTGTAGTGTAACACATCCTTTTGTTATTGTTGAAGCATCGAGAATGACCATTGTAGTTTTTTCCCCTCTTCTTTTTTTTTTTTATCCTTTTTTTATATTGTAGTGGTAATAAATTTTTTTATATATAATTGGAAATTAAGAATATGATTCATGTATTTTTAAATTATTATATTACCAACATTAATTTTAACAATAATTTTTAATCAAGACATTAAACATGTTTTTTTTTCTTTCGAACATCAAATTCAATGACAGTTTCAATTATATATATTTTTCCCGCTAAATAGCCACAAAGGCTTCTAGAATACCAAACATGTCCTAGAAGATGATGTGGTGACTCAGCCTCCATACCTCGGTAAAGATGGAACACGACAGGTAGAAAGTTACCCGAGATACCCTTTCATTTTGACGTTGATGCGTTAGCCCTTCGGTATCCGATCAGCAAACTTTAGAAAGTTTACGCGCATTGGGCCCTTACAAAAATCGACACTTGCCCAACAAACTAGAAACATAAAACGCAGGCCCAAGATACTTAGCCCAGAAGTTCAAGACCAGCCTTAGAAACCCAGCCCACGTGAAAGACAAAAACAAAACAACAATTGCTCGGTGGACATGAAGCCTGTTTTGTTACCTTCATATTGATAAAAAGGTGAAATAGGAGAAGACAGCCACTTGAATTTTGTATATGAAGTGGGATATGTAGCCTGAACTGTCTTGTGACTAGGTATGAATTGCATGTAGCATTATTCCTCGGTGTTTGTGCACTGTTTTGTGTGTCACTGACTTCATAGTTGTCGGATACAACATGGGTTAATTAAAGTTTAATTTCAATCAAGGATATGATTTCAACTGCTCCTGCTCTGACAAGGCTGCCAGCTGCCATACGGTGCAGTAGGCAGCCGATAGTCACATGGATTATGGACGTAACTTGTAACCAAGAGACCTGCTCGATCCAGCTTTAGAGCATCTTTCGAGCGAGGAAGACATGCTTGTCAATCTGTGTCTGCAATTGTGAAAAGATTGCAATAAAACATGAGTCGGGCAATTCTTGCATGTCCTTTAATAATTGATGCGTGTATTTTTTAAAAGTTATTTTTCATAGTTTTAGATTATTTTTATATCTTCATACTGAAAATAAATTTAAAAAATTATTTTATTATATTTTTAAATAAAACACCCTTTAATAAAGCTAAAACATTATATGGCATCTTTAACATTGTCTGGGAAAGAGCACAAACTATATCCTACAAAAATTTAATTTTTTTGTTAAAATTTATTTTTTAAATATTTTATATTTTTCTTGATATGATGATTTTAAAAATAATTTTAAAAATATAAATTATTATTTTAATATATTTTAATATAAAAAATATTTTAAAAAACAATCATAACTATTTTTTGTTTTTGACAAGGCATGTGATTGTTATTTGTTGTGGGTTCTTTTTGTTTCAAACTTTACAGAAAGTTCGTTTCTTGTGGCATGAAAGATTTTATCTTAACTCTTTTATTGCTGCATTATAAAACTCAGCAAAACAAAAATAATTATCAAAGCAAGATGGCTATAAAAAAGAATTAATTAAAAAAATATTGTTTTATTTTACAAATAAATCACGTTCTTCTCTCTCTATGTATATTTATTTTATTGCTCAATGGATGGGTTTTCCGATCCATCGAGGTTGAGTCTGGAAACCAAAACTTGTGTTCTGAATTCACCCGTACTTAAAATAACTTCCATCTGCACCACCACTTTATATTTGCATTGGCCGAAAACAAGCAGAGCCGATCACTAACTAGGCCCTAAACAATAATTTGTCAGCCATAAGTGGCCCATGCTATCATTTCCATGACTCCAGCAACAGTAAGTTTGATTTCTTGTTAATAATAGTCCTTGTTGCTATTTCCATGATTCTTCATCAACACTAATCTTGTGATTCCTTGTTAATAATAGCCCTTGTTGCTATTTCCATGATTCTCCCTGACGTGTTTTATATGATCATCCAAAACCTCATCATCAGCTTCAATTGGTTTTATTTTTTTCGACGCGATTCTTGGACATAAGACCTATAGTTACCGGCCAGCCTATAATTTCTTACCCCCCCCTCTTACCGGCCAGCCTATAATTTCTTACCCCCTATGGGCCAAGATTTATTGTTGAAGAAAACAAGCTAGCTTCACTATTTTCATATCTCTACCACTCAAAAAACTGAAGAAAAAAGGCTCATAGAACCAAATACCAATTAAAACATGGCAACTTCAGCTCCACTTATCTCAAAATCCCAGTTATCGTCCGGCATAGAAACCTTGGATCATCAGGAGCAACACTCGCTAGATGACACCATCGAAAAATACATAGAAGGTTTTGGACCGGCACAATATCTGCAAGTCATCCTTGTGTCATTGGCA